AGTGCCAGGGCAAAGTCATGGGAAAGGACAAGTGCTTCCTTCCTTTCTGAGACCTAACCTCTCTATGAAGCCCAGGCTGGCCTTGAACTCCGAGTCGTCCTGCCTCTGTCTCCAGGATACTGGGATGACAGGCATGTACTACTTCACCTAGCTCAGTCTTAGCAAAGGGTTTAGCAGGTTCTGAATAAAGAGGACACTCCACAGTTCTGAGTTGCCAGTAACTCTGTCTCCGTGAGCTAGACAACCAGCTATAAAATGAGTATAGTTACTTGCTGGTTTTTCAAAGAGTTAAAGATAGAAGTCACAAATGACTGAGAAACAAATTCCATTCCTAGGTACAGACCTAAAGGAATCAAAACAGGTGCTCAAGCTAGACCACGTGCACCTGTGTCCACAGCAGCACTGCTCGCCGTAGCCAAAAGAAAGAAACCACTAAATATCCACCAACAGACAACTGGAAGAGGAAGCCTGGAGAAACCTTGCCTGAAGAGTATTCAGCCATGAGAAGCACAAAGGATTACCCCACCGGTGACAACATGGGTGGGCCTGAAAACGTTATGCTCAGGAAGGAGCCAGCCAGACACAAACGACCACCCACAGACCAGAAGCAGACAGGGGCTGGCTATAGCTGGAGGGAGGAAGGCCAGGAAAGGAGGGTTCCAGATGCACGGCCTCCTTCTGAGGTGAGGGAAATCTCTTTTAACGAAACAGAGACACTGTTGGTGTGCCATGTGAAGTGGTTACAGCCACTGAATTGCTCAATTTAAAATTGGTTGATAAAGCACTTGTAACTCACACCTGTAACCCCAAACACTTAGGAGGCTGAGATCTGGGGATTGTGGTTTGAAGCCAGCCAGAAGTCAAATCTGAAAAACTTTTACCCCAATTAACCAGCAAAAAGCCAGAAGTAGAGGTGTGACTCAAGTGGTAGAGCACCAGCCTTGAGGGAAAAAGCCAAGAAAGAGCCCAAGGCTCTGAGTTCAAGCTCCAGGATAGGCACATGCACAATATGTACACACATACGCGCGCATGCACACACCACACACCCACACACACAAAACTTGGTTGATAGTTTTTATGTGAATTTTATCACAATAGGAAGGAAAATGAATGCTTCCCAACTGAGTGATTAAGGGGAGTCCTGGGAGACCTCTGCTGTCTCCCGGTAGGACGGCGGCGGCCTTGCACGCCCAGCTGCCCTTGTGGGAGAGGGTGTGGGGCGTGGGGAGCAGGGCTCTGTCTGGGCTGCGATGGACAGGAAATGGTAGGCCATGGTCATCCAGACCAGTAGCCCTCAAGATTTGTAGACACTTGTCTGTAAAGGGACAAACTGAAGATGTGTGGGCCGGACAGACCCCATTCACTCAGTTCCTCCTTTGCTTCCTGTCACCTGAGTGCTGGAAGCCTGAACCACAGGCTGTAGTCACGGTTTACCCTCCTTCTCCTCCATGCAGCCCTCTCGTCTGCACCTGGCCCCTAGTGACTTCCCATTAGAGTACTCTCTGCCCTGCTCGGTGTCTCTCGTGGATGGTGATGAGAGGATGGGAAGGAGTGTGTCGCCTTCACTCTGGGCCGGCTGGGCGGCTGCTCCATTACATGCTTCATGGATGAGAGGCCTCACATCACAGTGCTTTTGAAGGGAGTTCTGTGATCTTCAAGGAAAACAATATTGAACCAGATGTGGTGGCACACACCTGTAATCCCAGCTACTTGAGAGGCTGAGGCAGGAGTTCCAGGCCAGCTTGGCTCATGTAGAAAGACATATCTCAAAGAACAAACAAAAGAGCCAGGAGCTAGGGAGCCAGGTTCTGGGGCTTATGCCTGGAACCCCATTTATGTGGAAGACAGAGATGGGGAGAATCTTGGTCTGGGAAAAATGATGAGATACTATCTGAAAAATACCTGAAGCCAAAAGGGGCTGGAACATGGTTCAAGTGGTAGACCACCTTCCTAGCAGGCTTGACAAGGCCCTGAGTTCAAATCCCTGGTACTGCACAGGGACAGAAAGAGGGAGGGGAGTGTGGACTGTGCATGTCACCCAGTGGTAAAGCACTTGCCTGTGACCCTTCCAAGCCTTGTGACCCTGAACAGGCTCTTGACCTCTTTCAGTCTGTTTCCCCTCCCTCCTAAAACAGGCCTCAAAGGACTCTGTCCTGGGGTAATGACAAGATGGAGACAGAAGAGCAAGTGGTGGTGCCAGGCACCCAGTAGGGCTGCAGGAGTTGGGAGGGGCCCTTCTGCCTTTGTCTCCAGTGCCACACTATTTTCAGAAGAGGAAAAAATTTGCCAGGAGTTGGCAGCTCACGCCTGTCATCCTAACTACTCAGGAGGCTGAGATCTGAGGATCAAGGTTTGAAGCCAGCCCAGGCAGGAAAGTTCATGAGATTCTTATCTCCAATTAACCACCAAAAAGCCAGAAGTGGAACTGTGGCTCAAAGGGCAGAACACTAGCCCTGAGCACAAAAGCTCAGAGACAGAGCCCAAGCCCTGAGTTCATGCACCTGGAGTAGCAAAAAAATAAAAATAAAAAAAGAAGAGGAAGAAACTTCTCTGAGCCTGCCTTGATGATGTGGCCTCACGGTGGGTGCTGAGCCGCCTCAGCGTCCGGGGCGACGGGGGCTCAGGAAATAAACCCCACTGCCACTTGGTCATCGGGGTATTTGTGACACAGAGACTGTCAAAGCTGCCAAGTCTGCAGTGAGCAGATTTACGAGAGAGGCACGCACCCTAGGAAAAGAAAAAGGAAAAACAGAAAGAAAGGAAAGGAAAAAGCGGAGCATGATTTATGTACTTTTCAAAACTTAAAACAGAAATCAAAGGCAAACTGAACTGTTTTAAGTCTGACAGCTGCAGGCATGGTTCTGTTTGGTTACTCTATTTATGTTTCCATTTTCTGTCGAGATTCATTGAAAATCGAATCATGTAATAGGAAAAAAAAATGTTCAGTGCCCCCCCCTTCACCCCATAAACCTTGTTCCTTCCAGAGGAGAGATGAAACCGCCAGCACCAGGGAGACTTCCATTTTGATGTATATTTCATAATATCTCATTGATTGTAAGTTTTATTTCTATGTCAATAAAAAAAAGTGGCATTGTAATAAATGAGAAGGAATTTAACATAAAATGGCAGCTGACCTGTCAGCAAAGCAGGAAGCAGAGGGGCGGGAAGTGGCTAAAGAGGAAGTCTGTTAATAAGGCTGGGTGAGGCTTGGGAGCTGCGGCTGGTGGCTATGGATTCAGCCACAGCGGGGTGGGTGCAGAGAACATGGCTGTGGGAGCACAGTCCACAGAGTAGTTATGTGCTGGGCTCCAGACCAGCTTTGTACAGGGCAATGGCGGGGCCTAAGCAGCTGCAGAAGAGCAACCACTGAGCAGTGCAAACTGCCATGCTTGTACCCTGGAGCCTGTGATGGATGGAAATTGGGGAGGGGACAGGTAGGGAGTTCCAGGATTTGGGAGCTAATCAAGAAAAAAGTATATAAACACATAACAATAGTGACCATAGAAGCCAGGCACCAATGGCTCGTGGGGCTTGAACTCAGGGTCTAAGCTCTGTCCTTGAGCTCTTTTGTTCAAGGCTTGTGCTCTATCACTTTGAGTCACAGTCCACTTCCAGTTTTCTGGTGGTTAATTGGAGATAAGAGTCTCACTGGGGGGCTGGGAAGGTGGCTCAGTGGTAGAGTGCTTGCCTTGCATGCATGAGGCCCTGGGTTCGATTCCTCAGCACCACATAGGCAGAAAAAAAGCCAGAAGTGGCACTGTGGCTCAAGTGGTAGAGCTCTAGCCTTGAGCTGAAGAGCTGAGGGACAGCACCCAGGCCCAGAGTTCAGGCCCCATGACTGGACACAAAAAAACAAAAGACTCACTGGGCTGGGAATGTGGCTTAGTGGTAGAGTGCTGCCTACCATGCATGAAGCCCTGGGTAGGATTCCTCAGTCCCACATACACAGAAAAAGCCAGAAGCACTGTGACTCAAGTGCTAGCCTTGAGCAAAAGCAGCTCAGAGCAGGGCTGGGAAGGTGGCTCAGTGGTAGAGTGCTTGCCTTGCAAGCATGAGGCCCTGGGTTTGATTACTTAGCACAACATAAGCAGAAAAAGCCCAAAGTGGCACTGTGGCTCAAGTGGTAGAGCACTAGCCTTGAGCTTAAGAGCTGAGGAATAGCACCCAGACCCACAGTTCAGGCTCCATGACTGACCAAAAAAATAAATAAATAAAAATAAAAAGAAGCTCAGGAGAGTGCCCAGTCCCTGAGTTCAAGCCCCAGGATTGGCAAAACAAAACAAAACAAAAAACCTAAAAAAAAAACTGCGGCTGCTGATGATTAATGCCTGTAAACCTAGCTACTCAGGAGGCTGAGATCTGAGGATCATGGTTCAAAGCCAGCCCAGGCAGGCAAGTCCATTAGACTCTAATCTCTAATTAACCACCAGAAAACTGGAAATGGTGCTGTGGCTTAAGTGGTAGAGCACTCGCCTTGAGCTGAAGAGCTGAGGGACAGCACCCAGGCCCAGAGTTCAAGCACCACGACTGACCAAAAAAAAAAAAAGTCTCACAGACTTCCTGCAATCTTCATATCTTGGCCTCCTGAGTACCTAGGATTACAGGGGTGGGCCACTGGTACCTGGTTTCTATGGTCACTTTTGTTATGTGTTTAATATGTTTTTCCTTGATTACCTGGCTCCATGAGACTCTTATCTCCAGTTATCCACCAAAAAGCCAGAAGTAGAGCACAAAAGCTCAGGGATGGCACCCAGGCCCTGAGTTCAAGCCCTACGTAGGACTGGCACCAAAAAAAGTGGCCACAGGGTGGGGAAGTCCCTCCCAGCAAAACTTGCTGCCCAAAGACCTACAGCAAGTGGGGAGAGGGGAGCATGGTGGTGAGGGTCCCTGGGTTAGAGATTTCCATGGGTGGTCGCCGGCATCTAAACGCACATGTGTCTTCTAGAACTACATGGCCTGCTTCTTAGGCTCAGAAAGTCAGAGCAGCTCAGTCTGGGCACTTTTGGGCCACCTTGATGTGGGTTGCTGAGTGACCCTGGACAAGGGCCTCACCGCCCAGCGCTTGGCATCAGGTGAAGCTCTTTGCTGGCCTTCATATGATGGCCATGCCAACTATCCACAATCAGAATAAGTAGCTGTAATTCTTAATGAGACAGGAGGGGACCTGCCCCATGATCAGCTGCTGCCTTCATGCCCACGTGCACTCTAGCAGAATGCCCAGACAGAAGCCACTGGAACACGGACCATAGGCTCCCCAGTACCTCCTGCCAGCCATTTTGGGAATCCCCCTGGGTTTGTATTTTCCAGAACCTCAATAACTCCTGTAAATGGCTAACACTTGATGACAATCCCAGTGAAGACCCTCAAATCTCCTCAGGCCAGGCCCAGCCTGCCAAGCCTCCCCCCCACCCCCCCACGTGCCTGCATTTTAAATCGCCGAGGTTCTGAGTGCTCTATATAGTTGTTTTTGTTTTTTTTTTTGTCGGTCGTGGGGCTTGAACTCTGGGCCTGGGCGTTGTCCCTCAGCTCTTCAACTCAAGGTGAGCGCTCTACCACTTGAGCTATAGCGCCACTTGCATTTTACATCTGTGTGGACAATGGGCAGCTAGTGAGGTCACCCCATCATGGCTGGAAAGAGGGGGTGAGCCACACCAGAAAAGGTCTGGATTCCTGAATACATGCCTATTAAGGAGCAACATGAATGTGGAACTAGGGGCTGCACTGTAAGTGACTTCATCAGTGGCTTCTTCCATGGGACAGGGCTGCAGACGAAGGCAAAGATTTCAGATCTACTGTATCATTGCTACATGCAAAATCCATCCTCAGGGGGCTGGGAAGGTGGCTCAATGGTAGAGCGCTTGCCTTGCATGCATGAGACCCTGGGTTCGATTCTTCAGCACCACATAAACAGAAAAAGCCGGAAGTGGCGCTGTGGCTCAAGTGGTAGATCACTTACCTTGAGCTGAAGAGCTAAGGGACAGCGCCCAGGCCCAGAGTTCAAGCCCCATGGCCAACCAAAAAAAAAAAAAATTCAGAATGAGGAGACATATTAGGGCAAAAGACTCCAGTGAACATCTTTTTGTGTGGTGTGTGCCAGCCCTGGGCTTGAACTCAGGGCCTGGGCACAATCCCTGAACTTTTTCACTCAAGGCTAGTACTCTACAACTTGGAGCCACAGTGCCACTTCTGGTTTTCTGGTGGCTAATTGGAGATAACAGTCTCATGGATTTTCCTGTCCTGGCTGGCTTTGAAATCTGATCCTCAGAGCTCAATATCCTGAGTAGCTAGGATTACAGGCATGAGTCACAGACACCCAATTCACCAACTCATTTTTGCATTTTTGTTTATTTTAGTAGTTAATTGGAGCTAAAAGTCTCATGGACTTCCTTTCCTAGGCTAGCTTCAAACTGTGATCCTCAGATCTCAGCCTCTTGAGTAGCTAGGATTATAGGCACTAGTGCCCAAATTTTCAAAAGGATTTCAATTCAAGTAATCAGATGGTGAGTACAATGCATTTTTTTTTGGGGGGGGGGTCTGGTCATGGGGCCTGAACTTTGGGCCTGGGCTGGGCGCTGTCCCTTAGCTCTTTAGCTAAAGGCTAGTGCTCTACCACTTGAGCCACAGCGCCACTTCCAGCTTATGTGGTGCTGAGGAATTGAACCCAGGGCCTCATGCATGCAAGGCAAGTGCTCTACCACTGAGCCACCTTCCCAGCCCCAGTGCAATGCATCTTGATCAATGTGACCCCCTCCCTCATTGTCTCCCAGCTTTCCCAACCCCATCCCACCCTCAGCTTACACGGTTCCATTTCACACATGTCCATGGACTATGACAACTGTATGTGCCCACCCTCCATTCATCTGCCACCCCCTGAAAAAAAAATACGTTTCAGCTTCCTGGACTTACTTTGCTAAATAAACTTTTTTCATCGCTCAGAGGAGTTATAACACGGGAATAAACCCTTGAGTATATCACCCTTTAGTCAACTACTGTGTGTATATATGCACATAATCCTGTATATGCTTTCATGTATATTTATATTATAGATCTAACTTCCATAGATGAGAGAAAACATGCACTGTTTGTGTATCTCTGAGACTGACTTACTTCATATAACAAAATTTTTTCCTAAGTCCATCCATTTCCCTGGAAATAATATAACATTATTCTTTCTGATAGATGAGTAAAATTCTATCATGTGTATGTATATCTTATATCATATATGTGTATATATCATATGCATACCACATTATCTTAATCCATTCATCCATTGTAGGACATCTGGGTTTTTTCCATAGTTTGGCTATGGTAAACAGTGCAGCAATGAACATGGATGTGCAGGATATAGTAGTATAATATTCTGGGAGACGTCCAGAGTGGTATTGTTGGATCATAGTGATGATCTTGACCTAACTTATAAAACAGACAGATAGGAGCCACCCCAGGGTTCTCTTTTTCCCAGTACTAAGTCTGAAATGCTAGTGAAGCTGTTGATTACAAACTTGGGGGGGGGGGTGGAGGGGTGGAGGACCAGCCTGTAATTACCACAATAGGAAAAGAACAGCATTTTTGTAATGAATGACAAGCTGCTGAGTGGAAATTTAATTTGGTCTAATTAAGTAGCCTTTTGTGAGGATTTGTCTTCAGATGAAAACAGGGAACAAGGAGATCTAAATGCAAATGAACCCCATCATTTGGGTTTTAAAGGGCTAGGCCCTTGCCTTCATTCGTCTCTCAGAGCCTGCACCCATGCCAAGGCCCACCTGCCTTGAAGGCACCTTGTATTTTTTTTCTGTCCCTGGTCCCTCTTATCTTTTCAAACAGACACCTGGCATCGACAGGGCTGACAGGGAGCTTCTGCTTCTGCTCGAGCAAATTTTATTTTGCCCAAAGTAATGGAAGCCAATGGGGTTTTACTGATGAGAGGAATTCAGTCCTATTCCCTGTGACTGGAAGGCATGAACACACCACCACCACCACCTCCACGGGCACTGCCAAAGCCACTAGGGAAACCAAGCCTGTGTGTAGCGGGGATCCCTGGACGGAGGCTGGGCGCCCATCTCCTAAGCCATATCACAGAACAAGTGATCTGACCAGGGGCTTTGAACTCTCCAAACCCACAGGGCTGCAGCCTTGCGATGTGACTTCAGGGTAGGCAGAGGCCAAGGGCTCAGCTGCCATTCAGAGGTCCTGCTGTTGTTTCCACAACTTACCAGAAGGACTCACAGAACTCAGCATGGTGTGAGGGGAAGTGAGGTCTCCCTGGCTAGGCAGAAGATGGAGATCAGGGCGGATTCAACATGGAGGAAGAATGACGTAGCAAGACACAAGTACCCTATGAAAGCAACCATCCCAGAAGACCACAGGGACACAGTCACATACAGCAAAAGGAGATTATTGTCAGCAGAGCTGATAAGGCCACTTCTCTCATGGGAGAGGGAGAAATAGTGCCTGTCCTTTGTTTAGGGGCAATTTTATACAATCATGGGACCAGGGCCATCTGCATGCACAGCTGACCGCTAAAGTTAGCACATAGCCGGGTGGTATTTTCTGACTGTAACAGTTATAGTTAGGCAGCAACCTGCTGATGCAGTTGTAGGCTAGAGATAGCGCAGTTTAGGTGGGGGTGGGCAATTGTAGCCAGGCCTGGCCTGGTCACCTGATTTCAGGTAGAGGGTAGAGGACCTAGAATGGAAGCTGTCAAGCCAAAATAGAGGTGGATATACTAGGAAAGGACTGAGGAGGGATGACTCAGTAAGATATAGGTGGAGAGGGGGGAACCAATCATAAGACTCCTCACAGCACATGTCTACCCCTCAACCAATCAGACCAGGGGCACAGCCAAAGGGGGAGACAAGGGGCCCTATATAAAACACCTGGAAGAGTCTACACACACCTAGCTCTGGGGCCCCTCCTTGGACAAGGAGTCCATTTTGCTGTTTCTTTTGCTTTCAAATAAACCTTCTCTTGTCTGCTTTAAATGCTTTCCTGCCCTTTTATTCTTTTTTGTTTTTGTTTTTTTTTTGCAAGTGGTAGGGCTTGAATGCTGGGCCTGGGCATTTTCCCTAAGCTCTTCAGCTCAAGGCTAGTCCTCTACCACTTCTGGTTTTTCTGGTTGTTAATTGGAGATAAGAGTCTCACAGAATTTCCTGCCTGGGCTGGCTTTGAACCGTGATCCTCAGATCTCAGCTTCCTGAGTTTTTACAGGCATAAGCCACCAGTGCCCTGCTTTTTAAAATTTTTACTCACTGGGCTGGGAAGGTGGCTCAGTGGTAGAGTGCTTGCCTTGCATGCATGAGGCCCTGTGTTTGATTCCTCAGCACCACATAAGCAAAAAGAAAAGACCAGATGTGGCGCTGTCGCTCAAGTGGTAGAGCGCTAGGCTTGAGCTGAAGAGCTGAGGGACAGCGCCCAGGCCCAAAGTTCAGGCCCCACGACTGGACCCAAAAAAAAATTTTTTTTACTCATTTATTTATTGTTATTGTAAAGGTGATGTACAGAGGGGTTACAGTTACAGAGTCAGGTCATGAGCACATTTCCTTTAGAACAGTGTCACCTTTCTCTCGTTTTCTCACAGTTTTCCCCCTCCTGATATGTAGAAAACATAGTGCACCCCTGGCATGGTACCAGGTGTGTGTCATAGCAGAAGACACAGATTCAGATGGGAGAGAAGCAGAGCCTACGACGGAGCCCGGCGGTTAGCTGCCAGGAACTTCTCCCAGAGTTGGGAGGCGGTTGGGTCTTGCCCACCAGGGAGGCCAACTGGAGCCTCGGAGCCAGGGTTCAGTTGAGGACATGGCTGATCCATGCACCTGACCTTCAACTCCTGTTCCAGAAGCTGAGCCTTCACTGCCTTGTCCAGGGTCCCCACACACTTGCACTGGCAGCCTGGACCAGCTGGCCTGGCTCAGGGCCCTAGGCCAGCCTAGAGGGGTTAATTAGGCAGGACAGGTCAGGGCTCCCGGTGACTGGTCACCCTGCAGGTGGGGATAGGGGCAGAACTGTACTGGG